TTTAATAATTTAAGTGAATAATACCACTGAGGAATTAAAGTGTCTTAAGCCCCATCATAGAAAGTGCTCATGGGGTAATAGTATTTATACTTCTTTAACCTTCTATCAGTGAAAATGAAGGTTTATAAAGTATAGAGAATCTGCCAAAATCTGAATGCCTAAATTTTCAAGTATACAAGAGCCTTTGAGTAAGGAGGGCAGATACTTCCTCTGACAAGTGCAGATGTTCTGGCTGTGTTTTTTTAAAAAAGGGTAAACATCTAAGTGAAAAGTAAAAAAATCCAGATGGTCTGTTTATTTCCCAAAATTTAGTTATTTGGAAACATCCCAAAATAGTTAGAAATGCTTGGCATACTATTAAGGTTTTTTTCCCTGTGCTTTTGGAATGCAGTAGATATAGAGAGTCTTACTGGATTTTTAAGCCCTGTGAGGAAAGGATCATGTCTAATTTTGGGTGTAAACCCATGACTAGTCCACTGATCCCGATTCAATAAATATTGTATGACTGAATGAATAAGAATTAATCACTGCTGCATGATTCCAAAAATGCCACTATCTATCGTCAAGCTCCCTAAAGAGTCCATCAAAAAACTATTAGAATATGATGGCTTAGTTGATTAAGCGTCTTCCTTCAGCTCACGTCATGATTCTGGGGTCCTGGGATAGAGCCCCATGTCAGGATTCCTGCTCAGCAGGAAGCCTGCTTCTCTCTCTCCCTCTGTCTGCTGCTCCCCCTGCTTGTGCTCTCTCTCTCTCTATCTCTGTGTCAAATAAATAAGATCTTTAAACAAAAACAAAAAAACTATTAGAATAAATGACTAATAGGGGCACCTGGATGGCTCAGTCGGTTAAACGTCTGACTTCAGCTCTGGTCGTGTTCTCGGGGTCTTGGGATCAAGCCTAGTGTCTGGCTCCGTGCCCAGCGGGGAGTCTGCTTGTCCTTCTGCCTCTGCCCCTCCTCCACTTGTGCTCTCTGTCTCTCTCTCAAATAAATAAATAAAATCTAAAAAAAAAAAAGGATAAATGACTAATAAATTCAGTAAAGTTGCAGGATACACACTTAATATACAGAAATCTGTTGTGTTTCTATATAATAACAAACTATCAGAGAAATTAAGAAAATAATCCCATTCACAATTACATCAAAAAATAAAATACCTAGAAATAAACCAAGGAAGCGAAAGACCTGTACTCTGAAAACTGTAACACACTGATGAAATTGAAGAAGACACAAATAAATGGAAAGATACACCCTGTTCATAGATTGGAAGAATTATTGTTAAAATGCTCATATTAGCCAAAGCAATCTACAGATTCAATGCAATTGCTACCAAAATACCAACGACATTTTTCACAGAAATAGAACAAATAATCCTAAAATTTGTATGGAACCACAAAATACCCTAAATAGCCAAACCAATCTTGAGAAAGAAGAACAAAGGTGGAGGCATCACAATCCCTGCTTGCTGATTTCAAACTATACTGCAAAGCTATAGTAATCAAAACTGGCACAAAACAGATACAAAGGCCAATGGAACAGAATTGAGAACCGAGAAATAAATCCACACATATGTGATCAATTAATCTATAACAAAGAAGGCAAGAATATACAATAGGGAAAAGACCATCTCTTCAATAAATGGTGTGGGGAAATTGTGCAATTATAAGCAAAAGAATGAAACTGAAACCCCTATCTTAATATTATACACAAAAATCAACTCAAAATGGATTAAAGGCTTGAATGTAAGACCTGAAACCATAAATGTCCTCAAAGAAAACATAAGCAATGAGTTCCCTGACATCAGTCTTAGCAATATTGTTTTGGATCTGATTCCACAGGCAAGGGCAACAAAAGCAAAAAAATAAATGGGACTACAGCAAACTGAAAACCTTTTTGCACAGTGGAGCAAGCTCTCAAGAAAATAAGGCAACTTACTGAATGGAAGAAAATGTTTGCAAAGCATAAATGTGATAAGGGGCTAATTTCTAAAATACATAAAGAACAATAGCAAAAACAAAAAATCTGATTTCAAATTGGCAGAAGAGGGGTGATGGGGCAAAAAAAATTTTTTAAATGAGCAGATGGTCTGAGTAGACATTTTTCCAAAGACACACTAATGGCCAACAAGCACATGAAAAGATGCTTGATACCACCTAACCATCACCGAAATGCATATCAAAACCACAATGAGATATCACCTCACAGAATGGCTATTATTAAAAAAATAAAAAGTGTTGGGGCGCCTGGGTGACTCGGTTAAGTGTCTACCTTTGGCTCAAGTCATGATCTCAGGGTCCTGGAACTGAGCCCCATATTGGGCTCCCCGCTCAGTGGGAAATTTGCTTGTCCTCTGCCTTTGCCCTTCCCCCTGCTCGTGCTCTCTCAAATAAATAAATAAATAAAATCTTAAAGAATAAGTGTTGACAAGGATGAGGAGAAAAGCAAACACTTGTACAGTGTTGGTGAGAATGTAAACTGGTGCAGCCACTATGGAGAACAGTATGGAAGTTACTCAAAAAATTAAAAAGAACTACCATATGATCCAGCAATTCCACTCTGGGTTTTTATTCCAAGAAAACAAAAACACCCTCATGTTCACTGCAGCATTCTTTACAATAGCCAAGATATGGAACAACCTATGTGTCCATCAATAAATGAGTGGGTAAATAAGATGTGGTGTGTGTGTGTATGTATACATACATATATATAATACATATAATATACATACAATGGAATATTACTCAGCCATAAAACAGAATGCAATCTTTGTGTTGCAGCAATATGGATGGACCTTGAGGATATTATGCTAAGTGAAATAAGTCAGAAAAAGACAAATACCCTATGATTTCACTTACATGTGGAATCTGAAAAACGAAACCAGACATAGATACAGAGAACAGACAGATGGTTGCCAGAAAAGAGGAGGGTAGGAGGGAGGCAAATGCGTGAAGGGGATTAAGAGGTTTCAACTGCCAATTATAAATAAGTCATGGGGACGTATTTTACAACATGGGGAATATGGTCAATAATATTGTGTTAACTTTGGTGACACATGGTAACTAGACTTATGGTGATCATTTTGCAATGCAATGTTGTACACCTGAAATGAATAGGATACTGTATTTCAATAATAATACTTCAATTTAAAAAAAAATAAGGTGAGCTTTCTCAGAAATGAGAACATGTTCACGAAGAGATTTGCACAAGAATATAACAGCCCCAAAACTGGAAACACCCAAATATACATCAACTGGAGAATGGATAAACAAATAGTGATATATTCATACAATGGAGTATTACTCAGTAATAAAAAAGAACAGATTCACATTAGTCAAAAACATTACTAAGCTAAAGAATATAGACCAAAAAAATGCATACCATTTGATTACACTTATGTGAAAGCCAAGAACAGACAAAACTGGTGATAGAACTCAGGAGGTTGCAGGCGGTGGGTGGTGGTGGGTGCAGGATAGTTAACAATAAATATAAAGGGGCATGAGGGAATTTTCTGGGGTGATGACTCACTATCTTGTTTTGGGTGTTACATAGGTGTATATTATTGATGAAATTCACCAAATAGAACACCGAAGATCTGCATTTTATTGTATGTTAAGGATAAATCAATTTTAAACCAAAGGTGAAAGAGCTGGTGGGAATAACCATCATGACATCTTTTATGCTCCAGTAATAACTGATCTCGGGCACTCACTTCTATGCTGAAGAACCCAAAATGACTTCTTTATCACTTATCCCGTCATTCTGATCTTCTCCATACAAAACCTCCTCCACTAACTTACACTTCCCACCCAGCCAAGGTGATCTGCTCACTGTCCCAGGCAGCTAGCTAATTTGCTCTTTCCTGAGTCTCTTTGTGTCCTTACCCTGCCTGAATCTATTCAAGTTCTCTCTGCCCTTCAAATCCCATTCTAAATTAGGGAGACGCCTTCAGAGAGAAACTCTTGATTAATCCTAGCCAATTTGAGCACCCCAAGATCCCTCAGCTTTTATGTTCCTTTATTGGACTAATATGATGCGTTAATACATTCTGTGTACACAACAGAAGCGATTTTAATAAAATGGGCAGAGACAGTGACTAGGGATCCCTTTGTATATTCTCTGCAGAACCCCAACCTACATTAGCGGGCCAGTCACTACCATGCATATTGTGAAGACTATACGGTATCCGGACAAGGGGAAATAGATATTTAATCAAGGACCATTGAGAATGGTACTGAAGGGAGCTCTGAGGCCCTGCAGGGGCCTAGGTGGGCTGTTTGCTTTTCTTCTTTTAAGCATGCCCTTAGTTCAACAGGGCAGGCACTCGTTCCCATCAAGACAGCAAGTGGCTGAGAACAAGGTTCTATCTTTTTTCTGCTCAGCCTTACCTCCTCCAGTGAGGAAACGGCCAGCACTACTCTGAAAGCAGCGGAGCCTGTTCCTAGCGCCCAGCTTTCCACATTACTGGGAGGACCCAATCCCGATCCGTTGGTGGAAAAGTGAGGAGGGAGCATTTAAGGCCAAGGAGGCACTCAAGCGTCTTCCCATAGATTTACACCCAACACGTAAGCAGGAAGGCAAATTACAAACACCAACGCTCACAACCACACATACACGTGCACGCCCAGCCCCACAGAAGCAGACGCGCATGCCCGTGGCTCCGCGCGCACCTACTTAGTTTTCTCTGCTATAGATGCCCCTCATTGCACCCCCGCTCGGCCCAGCGCGGCTTCTCCTACCCCCGCACCGGGGAGGTTTACCAAGCCGGACCCGACCGGGCCCGAGGAGAGTGTTTCTCTATTGGGGGGAGGGGAGGTCCTTCCCACCCGAGCGGAAGCGGCGCTCTCCGGACGGGCGGACTTAGCTCTTGTCCTGGGAACATCTGGAGGGGGCTGGGAGGGGCGCGCATCCAAGAAGAACGTGGATTGGCTGCGTGGAAGGAGGGAGGCGGGGTCTGGGCGAGGGGCGGGGCTCACTGGCCCCTTTAAAGCCTTGACATCAAGAGGCGGCCCCAGCACCCCCCTTCTTCTGCCCCCCGCCCCCGAGCCGCGGCCATGGACCCGGCGGATCTGGCCTGCCCTGGCCCAGCTCAACACCTGATTTCGGTGAGTTCCAGGCCTACTTGGGAATTAAAGGGCGGCGAGTGGAGGGTCTGCAAGCTGTGGGCTGGGGGTGGGCGGTTTGAAGGGTAAGACTCTCGTGGCAGCCTTGGGTCGGAGGGGGCGGCGCGCCTTCCTGCCCGGACCTCGCTGCCTGCCCCTCCCTCCCGTCGCACTGTTCCCAGCGGGGGTGGGGGGGTGGGGGTCCGGCTGCGACTCTGTCCACCCCCACCCCACCCCCTCCCGCACCCCGCGCCCTCCTCGCGCACACTCCATGGCCCCGGAAGGGAAACTTTCGGGACAGGGGGATGTTCCGGGGGCCGGTCTCCCTCCCTCTTTGAAAGCACTGACCTTGCCCCAGCTGCGCACCCCACCCCACCCGCATCCCACAGTCCGGGTGCCGCTTAGCGGTGCAGGGTTGTTGCGCAGGGCGGGGGGGGGGGTGGGGTGGAGGGAGGCTCTCCCCAAAGCGCAGGCGCGGAGACGAGCCCTGGGCTCCTCTTCGCCCTCCTTGCAGTCCCCGTGGCCTGGGGCGGTAGGGCGTGGGGAAGATGGGGAGAGGCGGAGAGATCAGGGTCTCTAGGAACAATCCTTCGGTGGCTTTGAGGGGCTGCGGGAAGGACGGAGGCGGGGGGCCAGCAGGCTGAACACTAAAGAGAGGCTGAGGGAGGGAGAAGGGCTGGGCAGGGTGTGGGGCCAGGGCAGTGCCTGCAGAAAAGGCTCTCTGGGTCCTGGCTGCGGTGCCAGAAGAATGCAGAGAATTTATCTGTGCCCGACACTCCCCTGGCCTAGGCCGACTAGAAAATCGGCTCACCGAACCCCAGCCCCCTTCTTCTTATTCTGGGCTCAAGCTCTCAGGTCTCCAGCCCTGGCACTGCCCCAAGGGCACGGAGGTCCCTCGCCTCCCGCGGGCCTGGTTTTCCAGACTCTCAGCGCTGTCCACCCAGCCAGCCAGCTGCTGCTTAAACGCTCGCCTTTCTGAGGAACCAGGGGTCTTAGACTGACGGCAGATCCCTCTTATTCCCTACCAGCCGCTCTCTCCCTCCCCTTGGGTCCTCCTGCCTAAGCGCAGCTGTCTGCCAGAGGCCGCGGCTGGAGACAGATGCCTGGGACAGGGATGGTACTGGGAGACAGTGGCCAACCGTTCTGTGGGCTGTACTCAATGGGGAAAATGAACCCAGCCTAGTTGCCTTGTTGCAGACCCTGTCTTGCAAGACCCCTTGTCTTTCAAGAAGGGAGACACAAAATTCACTACTCATATTGGTTCCTTGTCTTTCTAGGAACAGCCTAGCTTTAGCGGGTTTCCTACTTCAGAGAAACATGTGTATTCCTGTCTGGGGAGAGATAGTCACACACAGTTCAACTTTGTTTTCAAAGTCTGTGGTCTGTGCATGAGGTGGCTCAGGCCCTCCAGCATCTTTCTTCAGCTTAGGGCTTTGGAACAGAGTGGGAACCTGGGGAGGCAGATGGCCTGGGTTGCAGGGAAGAAGGCTGTTCCACAATAGGCAGAAACCAATGTATATGAGGACCAAGCTGCTGTCACTGTGGACTGGGAGTCAGAAGCACTGGGCCCTGCTCTTCCCAGCTTGCTGTGTGGCTTTGGCCCAGACAGTCTGCCTCTCTGGGGCTCTTTTCCCTCATCTGTAAAATTCAGCAGTTGGACTGGAAAGCTCTAACATTCCCTTTCACTTGTTGACCTTGTGTGGTTCCATTGATAAGTGACTCTGAAAGGGAGAAAGGTCCCCTGGCTGGGTGACTTAGTTTGAGGAGGTAGGTGTTGGCTGATACAGTTACCCAAGTCACAGTTACCCAAGGTTGCAGGGCTGCAGACTCCCTTTTTCTCCTACGACTAGCCATTGTCTTGCTCACCCCTGTTGGCTTGGGGTGTGCACTCTTGCTGGCTGGGGTTTGGCCCACCCATCAAGGCCTCTGCTGAGATATCCTGGCAGGCCAGTCTTTGAGTTGGGCCTTTGGGGAGGAGTTGAGAGAAGGGTAGGCAGCCAAGGGCCAGCCGGGTAAGCAGATTCCCAGGAGACAGTTTGCATCTCAGCTGTTGGGACTTGTTTTAGGATCTGAGCCAGGGAGCACAGTACACTCATCCGCCCTCCTATGGGAGGAGGACGAGAGCCCCGCTGCTGTTGCCCATCTCCCTCCCTGGCCCTCCTCACCTCACCTGTGCACTCACAGCCCCCAGGCCCCAGGCAGTGGGCTTAAGGAGTTTTCCCTGCTGCCCTCACCCAGCCCAGCCAGCCTCCTGGGCCCTTCCACGGCAGCCTGGCAGCAGGGAGAAACTGCCCCAGCCCCACCTTTCCCGGCCTCCTTCCCTTCTGGGGGTATGGTTTCTCAGGAGTCAGGCTCTCCAGGTTGGGACTTGCTCTCTAGCCTAAGAGCCAAAGGCCTTCACGTTTTCCTTGTTTGTTTTCATCCTTGATCTCCCAGGTGCCAGGGGGGATGTTAGAGGAGGTGGTGGTTAGAGAGGCTGTGGGATTGGTTGGACGTGGGGACACATTGTCTGCATTGCTTTTCCCTGTGCTAGCTCTCCTGGGCCTGGGGAGCCCCCTTCCCTGGGCCCTGCTGCCCACGGACTGAAGCTGCAGCAGGAGGCACTTAGGTTAGACCCCAAGGAAACCTTCCTCACTGCGAGGAGCCCCTGGAATGGAAAATGGAAGCTCCCAGCGAGGTCAGTTTCCAGTCCCTGTCAGAGTGAGGGATGCGGCTGTTGCTAGGCAGAGGCTGTTCTTTCCTCCTGGGGTGTGGCTCTGAGGCTGGCCAGCCGGAGGCCTTGTTGGAAGCAGGAGGAGAAAGGACCCTTGCCCAGTAGCCGAAGAGGGGACCCCGGCCCCACTGGCTCTGGATCACCAGAACTGCATCTCTTAGAACAAATGCCACTTCTCGCCCTGCTTCCCTCAGCTCCTCCCCCAATTCACACCACTACCACGGTCTGCTTTGACAGGCCTCGCCTGAACCTGGCAGGCGCCTCCAGCCCCAGTCTGGCTGCACTAATGGACTGATTGGATTTTCTATACTTGGAGTTTGGGATTTCTGACTGAACATGCAAATTTATGTAAATCAATGTGGGATCTGCCACCACATCAAAACAACATAGAGTCATAGGCTGGAAGGAATCCTAGAGACATCTAGTCCAACGCCCTCGTGTTAAAAATGGGGAAACTGAAGTCCAGAGGGGGAAGTGATTCATACAATGATGAGTGTCAGTGGCCAGGCTCCTGACTCTGATCTGGTGTGTTACATGGTCCCCCTCTGCCTTAATTTCTCGGGCATGAAGGGCCTGGCTGAATTTAAAGCAGAAAGGGCAGTTCTGGGACCTGAGACTGTGGAGAGCTGGACCCTTGGAGGGTCAGAGTGTTATCTCAGGGCCTCCCCAGGGGCTCTGGTCAGATCTAACATGCTGAAGAAAAATAACTTCGGATCCCTTCGAACAACACCCTTGTTTTTCCCCAGGCCCTGCCCTGGAAGGTTGGAGGACAAGGTCATTGGTTGCTGCCTGGCTTGGGCCTTGTGGTTTTCCCAGAGCTGAGATTGTGTCTGTTCTGGCACCTCTCACAGTACCAGGCACACAGTAGGCTGTGGATGGCTCTGCATAGGCGGTGCCTCTGTCTTTACCCTCCCATCCTCATGTGAGTCTCCGCTGCTTCCCTCCATGGCCGTGGTGGGAAAAGATCATTAGTCTTCTGTGACTTTTTGCCTCCCCTCCCCTGCCCTTGCTATAAGAAGGATCTCATTTTTTTGAGATCAGTGCCAAAGTTGGAAGGGGGCTACAGAGATGGGCTTGGGTCCCTAAGAAGTAGTCTCCCCACTTCTTGACATGTTTCTGATTTGATACACACACACACACACACACACACACACACACACACACGCTCAGCTGTAAGATGCCCCCTGTTCCCGCTTCAGAGATGGTGCCTGTGGCGTGGGGCCATTTGGAAGGCTGAGCCCTCACTTACCCTGTGGTGCTTGCGTGTGTTGCAGAGATGGTGGAGATGCTCAGAGCAGCTGTTGGCCCGCCTTGTAGTACTTTGGCAGAGTAAGTGTATGGGCTCAAGATCAGAGGCCCTGACTCCCAGCCAAGGCCACCACCAGGCCCTGCTGCAGCCTGGGGAGGGGCCTTGGGACACATCTGGGGTCTTCCTCACCTTTATCCCAAACCCAGGCCCAGCTGACTCTGAAAGGAGAGGCCCCCCGCCCCCTCCCCCCACCCTCTTCAGCATCTTCCCAAAACACAGCAGGTACAGAGCCAGCACTGCCCATTGGCCCTCAGCTCCTATATCCTTAGTTCCTTGTGAGGGGAAATCCTCCCTGCGCCTCAGTTTCCCAGCCTGTGCTGATGGATTAATAACACATCATCACAGGGGTGTGGCACCTGTTCAGTAATTGCCATTCTCCCAACTCTGGGAGTTACACGGATGAAAGAGGCCTGAGGAGGCCAGGCTGTTATTAAGGTGAATTATCACTGCTATTATTACTGATTTCTAAAAGTCGAGCAACCCCGGAGAAGAGCCCAGTCAGGCACAGCTCCCTGGATCCTTATGGCGGTCCTTGAGCTCTGGAAGTTCTCTGGTACTCACTAGGCTTTTAAAAATATCTATATCTGTATCTGTAGAGATATTTTAAAAGGAGAGACGACCCCATTCTGCTTCTCATGCTGATGCCTGCAAGGCTTGAGTGGTGGTGGGTGCTGCTTAGGGCACTGGTCTGCAGTTCCCACTCTCGTGCAGGGCTTGAAACTGTCCCTCCCCGCTGACCCTCTGGGTAGAAGAATGATGAGGTTTTTCCTAGATGGGACTGTGAGGGGCCCCAGAACTCCTGGGGTGTGGCCCTAGGGTTCTCAGCAGTCATTGTTCCTATGGGCTGATTCATTTCACCCTCGGCTGGCTTGATGTGGGGGCTGTAATTGGTCCTTTTGTGTGAGGATCTGTTGAGACACCCCCAGAACCTGCCCGCAGCAGCTGCAGGGACCTCCAGGTGTCCTTTACCCCAACTTACTC